TCTGGGACAAAGAGCTTTTAGAGTCTCTCTCTCCCTCTCTCATCCCCTCTGTCTTGTTGTGTGTCTATATGTTTTGTAAAGCTGCAGCAGTTCTAATGGAGCTGACTGCCTCCAGCCTGAGCCCAAACCCACACACTAGAAGCCCTAATTCACCAACCACAGCTGCACTGACTGATAAAATTGTGTGTGTGTGTGTGTGTGTGCGTGCGTGCGTGCGTGTGTGTGCGTGCAATCCAAAGGGATTGAGTCATAATGTATCAGACTATTGTTGGCACGGTTGTGGGGAGGGAGCCTCACTCACACATCTTCTGTGCCCAAAAGTAAGAACATGTTGATGTGGTGTTGAAGACATGTTATTTTCTATATTAAGTGTAAAGATCCCACTATGTCCAGGTGTGTGTCTTTTAGGGAGCATGGTGGATGGAATTAAAAGTAAACACAACATGTGATTGCTGTAGCTTTTCTTTCAGCTGAAGGAAAGTGAGAAAACATAACTGTAGTATTTGTTTGGATAATTGGTTAAAGGACTATGTGGAGCTGATAATGATAGAACATACAGCCTCAGCTCTCTAAGAAAGTGGTCTAATAAGAGAATGTGTGAAAAAAAAGACATTCAGTATAGTGATTCTGCCGCATGTAGAATTAATGGATTGTAATGAGAACTCAAAGAGATATCGCCTTTGGACATCAATGGTTAAGCTTATAAACTATTAATAATTATAAGTTAAGCTTCTTTTTTTTTGCTACATCACTCCATTCACCCACTGCACCAGCTTGGCTGACTTATGTGTTTTTAATAGAGACAGCGCTTGTTAGTAAGATCAAGTCATCGTTGGTCAGGTGTAGGTTCGGGTTTGGTTTTTGTCTTTTCATGAGATTAGTTGACAATAAAGAAAATCTAGATCATCACCAGACTTACCCTTGAAGCCAGGCTGCATGGTTGTTCATCTTAGTTTACAAATGTGAGGTTATGTTATGTATATTATACAGTATTATTAATATTTTCACTTCTAGAAGCAGCCCAGTGCTCGGTACAAGCACCATGTTGCTATACCAGTTATTAGTCAGTGAGTATCTCCACTCGACTAAGTGCTGCTTTAATTGCACTTTGACAAGGACAGGAGAATTTTACATGTAAACACACATTGTCACAAGCCTGTCACTTTATCCCTGTATAAACACAATTATAAAACCATGAGTCACAGCCATTGTTTGGCCCAAGCATGACTTCCTAATTAAGTGGCCTTCTTCTGTAAAAGGACAGAATTGTCTTGGGATAAAGAAGTGCTCAGCCATGGAAACAGAAAGAAATCCCACAGCACTGATATGTTGGAGAGAGTGTGAAAGGACGCAGAGAGGCAGTGCCAGGCCACCCACACCTGTGAATTAACTGGATGTCTTGGGATCCCAAATTTGTCTCCAACCACTGTGTGAATCATAAATGGCCGTCTGCGCTGATATGAGAAGGACTGCCATGAAATCATAACAGAAAGATTTTCAGAGTTGGATTTTGAATTTTTGCTGGTAATAAGGTAAGACATTTATCTGGCTGTACTGCATGTTCATTAGTTTTTTCTTTCCTTATCACAATCGTGCGCTAATATGCTTAGCTGTTCAGGTTTTAACAGCGCTGAGAGGCTAAAGGAACGAGACAGAAGATAAGAAACAGCTTAGGGATTTCAGAGATAATGCACACACACACACACACACACACATATACACACACACACACGCACACACACAGTACTATCCCCATTTATCACATTTCATAACTGCAGGGAGAAGCCAGCATGATGCAAAAGTGGGATTTTTTATGTCAATAAACTGTGTGTGGTGTTTTGTCAGCCAAACCCCAGGAGAACTAAGAAAAATCACTCCTTGCTCTTGCTGCATACACACATCTTACAGTAATACACACAGTCAAACACATGCACGGGGTACTTTAGTGCAAATGTAGTCTTATGTCCTGAAAAGTTTGAATAAAGGGCCCAATCATTTTCATTACCAAGATATATAGTTTTATGTTTCTCATAAGGTTTTGAACCAGAATAAATGAGGAGCCTGCTCTTACATGCTGCTCTGACAGACCAAGACATTTTTGTTTCCACTCCACTAAATACAAACTCGCGGCTCTTTCCAGTAGCACCTCAGGAAGATAAATTGCAATTATTTTTGCCTTTGTGCCCATCAGCCCAAGAAGCCACGGTGCCTGCTGCCTTCGCTACTTGCCGGATATTGAAATGACCTATTACAGTAAAAAACTGCATGACGGAGATTCTAGATCCTCAGTGTTCACCTTGAAAGGGAGACGTATTGAATGGACTCTCATCATTCCAACATACATCTTTTGATGAACACCGAAGCACACAGAAACACACACAGACACACATATGTTCTTCACATGCACGATGGTTAAACTAAAAGGAAACAGACTTGAACTTGAACTTGTCAGATTATTTAATGGTCGTGATTAAAGGTCTGCGTTGTTGCTGCAGGTTAT